AGATAAAGAAACAAAAAAGATGTTTAAAAAAAAAAAAACTTTTAAAAGTCTATTTTGGCTTTTTAACTGATAAGAAAAAACATCTCAAACCGCAGTCAAAGAGGAATACAATTAATAGAAGCCTTAAAATTTAGAGGTTAGGCTAAATCTATATAGAAGGAAAAGAAGATATTTTAGAACTCATTTAAACATGTGACTAAGAAATAGAGGTACTAATATACAAGTTAAGATAGTGCCTTAGTCTTCTGAAACAGTATCTATGTTGGTATCCCTCTAAAATTGAAAATAACCCATATATCCCCTGTGCTTTTTTTCCCTCCAAAAATATATAGTCTAACTTTTTTTGAATTGACCAAACCAACCACCCGTTCCATTTTTTAGATGAAGGTTTGTTACAGGCAATCCAGTCCAAAGCATAGATCTCTATACACAGCACTAACCAAGGTCAAAGCGGGTGGACTGTGGAAGAATGGGTTTTGCAGGTGTCCCTCTGGTTTCTGTATTTCAATTTGAAAGTTATAAAAGTCTCTGGCTCAAAGGACCTGAGATTTAACCAACAGCAGCAGACAAAATACCTGAACAATCAGAGATTCAGCATTGTCACATTCTGTATTAATCTGTGTAGATTTCTGCTGGGATCTCTCCTTTCAGTAAAGTTCAAGACAGCATGGCTTGAACACTAAAATATCTTTTCAGTTTAAGTTCTAGCCTCTTTTGACATTGAGGGCTTCCTTGGTAACTCAGCTGATTATCTGCTTGCAATGCAGGAGACCCCTGTTCAGTTCCTGGATCACGGAGATCCTCTGGAGAAGGCATCGGCTACCCACTCCAGTATTCTTGGGCTTCTCTAGTGGCTCAGCTGGTAAAGAATCCACCTGCAGTGTGGGAGACTTGGGTTTGATCCCTGGGTTGGGAAGATCCACTGAAGAAGGGAACGGCTACCAACTTCAGCATTCTGGCTCGGAGAATTCCCGAACTGTATAGTCCATGGGGTTGCAAAGAGTCGGGACACCGCTGAGCAACTTTCACTTTCACTTGACATCAGAAATAGCTTATTTGCAACACTCCTGATCTTAGGTGTGGGCAAACAAAACAACAACAACAACAACCAAAAAAAAACCAAAATTCTCTACACCAAGACTACAAAAAACCATTTTGGAGGGAAGTGATCAGCAGACAAACATTGACAATCATTTTATATGATTGTCATTAAACCATTGACAATCCCAATAATTTGGTTCCAGTATAGGATCCAACACTCCCCAGATTGCATGAGACCAGCTATGAATGTGATACTAGTAGCTTTTCTTGGGTCAAGGCTGGGGTCTGTAATGCAGGCTGTGCTGTGGAAAGGAGGGGCACAGAGTTGTGTTTTGTTTTTAATTTTTTGGACTATAATTGGTTTACAATGCTGTGTTCACTTCTGCTGTACAACAAAGTGAATTAGCTATAATGTTTATAATGTATTCCCTCTTTTTTAAATTTCCTTCCCCTTTTGATTTCCTTTCCTTCGCTGATATATAGGTTGCCACAGAGCATTTACTGGAATTCCCTGTGATATCCCATAGGTTCTTGTTATCTGTTTTATAAGTGTGTGTGTACTAGTCTCTCAGTTGTGTCTGACTCTTTACGACCGCATGGACTGTAGCCCACCAGGCTCCTCTGTCCTTGAAATTCTTCAAACAAGAATACTGGAGTGGGTTGCCGTTCCCTTCTCCAGAGGATCTTTCTGACCCAGGGATGGAACCCAGGTCTCCAGCATTGCAGGTGGATTCTTTTACCATCTGAAACATCAGGGAAGACCATTTTATACATAGTAGTGTGTATATGTCAAGCGCAATCTTCCAGTTTATCCTACCCTGCTCCCCCCTTGATATCCATTTGTTGTTCTCTACATTGAGAGGCACAGAATTTAATCTCTAAATGCCAATATAATAGGGAGAAGACACAAAATACATTGGTAGCCACTGTCTGACCTATTCTCCAGGCTTCATCTTTATAGTCATTTTTCTGCACACCTATTATTTGAAATAGGCTCCTACTTCTTACAACTTATCTCTCCAAGATTAGTACATGAGAAGGGAGGATTTAATGAGACATTTGCTGTTAAATCATCTCATAAGCATCAAGGGCTATGCATAGTGGCTTGAATCTATTTTTTAATCTTAGTCATTAAAGAAAAGTTTAGTAACACTGAAATGCAAATCTAAAAAACTAAAACTGTGCTTCTCATAAGTACAAAGGAATTTTTAGCTTTTTTACTGAAAGGGATTCTAAATCAAATTATCCTCCATATTGAATTTAAATATAACCTGTATAATTAGAATTTCACCTTTCCTAAAACAAGGTAATCCCAGTGACAGTCATTAGGAAATTTAAGCTTTCTTTCACTTTATTGAAATATAATTGACACAGCACTCAGTGAGTTTAAGGTATACACATAACAATCTAACTTACATACATTGCAAAATGATTACCACAATAAGTTTAGTTAACATCCATCATCTAGTAAGAATACAAAAAAAAAAAAGATATTTTCTCCTGTGATGAAAACTTTTGTAATCTACTCTCTAAGCAACTTTAAAATTTACCATACAACAGTGTTAATTATAGTCATCATTTTATACATTACTTTCTACTTATTTATCTTACAAATGTAAGTTTGTACGTTTTGACCATCTTCATCTACTTCCCCCACCCAGGAAGCTTCTTATATAGTGTCTAACATAATGAATGCAGCTTAGAAATCTAAATCTTTATAGACCTGCATATACATGTATCATCATCTCCTCATCACCCTTAACATCAGAGCACACCATGGCTCAGCTCCCTGGAGTAAGGGTACACTTAACAAAGCCCTTACGGTTCTTACAGTCTTCCTAGTGTCATCAGACCTGACCTACTGCTCCATCAAAATTAACTTATAACCACATAGTTTCATATATTTCATAAATATTTTCAACATTTATTTTCTAGTTTGCCGGGGGTGTTTTGCTTCTACCACTTAAAATTTATGGCAATTCTAGCAAAGATTTCTTCATTTTTTATGGTTTTTGGCAGGTCTTCCCGGGTGGCCCAGTGGTAAAGAATCTACCAGCCAGTGCGGCAGACGCAGGAGACTTGGTTTCGATCCCTGAGTTAGGAAGAATCTATGGAGTAGGAAATGGCAGCCCACTCCAATATTCTTGCCTGGAAAATTCCATGGACAGAGGAAACTGGTGGGTTATAGTCCATAGAGGCGCCAAGAGTCAGACATCACTGAGCAACCAAGCACCACCACCAATGTCATTAGGAAGCACAAACTTGCCACCTGCTGGTCTTAAGATGCATATACATTTTCAGCTGCTTTTATTTTATTTTGGTTATTATAAACATCAATTCAGCACTATATATATATATATATATATATATATATATAAAATTGATGCTTTTGAACTGTGTTGCCAGAGAAGACTCTTGAGAGTCCCTTGGACAGCAAGGAGATCAAACCAGTCAATCCTAAAGGAAATCAGTCCTGAATATTCATTAGAAGGACTGATGCTGAAGCTGAAGCTCCAATACTCTGGCCACCTGATGACTGTCAGGTCACCTCTGACTGACTCATTGGAAAAGACCCTGTTGCTGGAAAAGTTTGAAGACAGGAGGTGAAGGGATGACAGAGGATGAGATGGTTGGATGGCATCACCGATTCGATGGACATGAGTTTGAGTAAGCTCCGGAAGTTGGGGATGGATAGAGAACTCTGGTGTGCTTCAGTCCATGGGGTTGCAAAGAGTCGGACGTGATTGAGTGATTGAACTGAACTGACTGGCCTTAAGATGTATATTTTCAGCTGCTTTTGTGGAGGTAAACGAAGTGAAAGTCCCCCAGTCCTGTCTGACTCTTTGCAACCCTGTAGACTATACAGTCCCTGGAATTCTCCAGGCCAGAATACTGGAGTGGGTAGCTGTTCCCTTCTCTTGGAGATGTTCCCAACCCAGGGATCAAACCCAGGTCTCCCACTTACCAGCAGATTCTTTATCAGCTGAGCCACCAGGGAAACCCTACTTTTTAAATTTTAATTATTTTAAGCATCAACTCAGCACTAAACATAAACATGTACACACACACACACACACACACACACACACACATAAACATGTCTGAAAATTCTACAAATAGGTGATATTCTCTTGTAAACTTTCCTTTCTGTTTTTGTCCCTGATGAATTGTTTTTGTTTTCTCTGACAAAGGACATTAGTGTTCATATAATTCTTACACACCACACACACACCTTTGATATCAAAGTGTGATTTTGATCCATGTAAAGTAAACCTAAAAATACTAAGTAGACATAAAAGTATTATTATACACTTAGGGAATAATTATTCAGAATCTTTCTATAAGTTCAGTTGATTTTTTCTTATTCTGATTGTGGTGGCTTCTCTTGTTGCCGACCAGGGGCTGTAGGGCACACAGGCTTCAGCAGTTATAGCACATGGGTTCAGTAGTTGTGGCTTCTAGGCTCCAGGGCACAGACTCAATAGTTGTGTGCAAGGGCCCAGGTGCTCTGTGACATGTGGGACCTTCCCATGTCAGAGATGGAACCCAAGTCTCCTGCACTGGCAGACAGACTCTCCACCACTGAGCCACCAGGGAAACTCCCTTGATTTATTTTTAGCTTAATTTTATACAAATATTTCACCTGCTCTACCTTGGAGAAGATTTGCATGTCTAAATACTCATGTTTTTTTTCTTACATATGACTATAATACATATTTTCCAACATATATAAGATTAATACATATTGCACTATATATTTTATATTTATATTGCTCAAATTTTTTTCACTAATAGCAAGTCTTATGATGCCAGTGATGCTTGCTTTTTTAAAATATCAGTTCACCTCTGTGAGTAGATTGTCAGTTTATAGGCCATTCTAGGGAAAGTTTCTGATGCTCAGTAGGATCTAAAGGAATCCAGTGAGAAAAACAGAAGTTAAAATTTATCTTCAATGTCTCTTGATTAATTCAATGCTCTTGGAATATAGAAAATTCTGGATAAATCTATGAAGCTAAAGATTTCACTCTTTTCGGGTGGCAGTTAAGATACCACAGCAGTCCTACCACATTTTGTCTCAGTTTGCTATTTCCCAAAATTAGGATGAAGGAGTGGCTTGATGGAAAAACAGTCGAAGTTAACACAACCACCAATTTGGCCAGACATCCCCGCAGTTTAAGGAAAACCCAACCTGTTAATAAGATGGAAGAAACATGAATGATGAAGAAGAAGAGGAAAGACATCACCATTTTCATGGCTCTTTTATGGGCCTCTGTGCTGAGATCCTTTGAGCTGGGGTTGAGCTGCAAATTCCTGATGTGTCTCATCAAGGAGAGAGATAAGAGGAGCAGTGAAGTCAGGGACAGAAGAAAGGGGATTAAGTTGATGAAGTTAAAAGCAATCAAATGGTGAAGATAATGAGTTTCACTTACATCTGAGGACCACGTTGAGTTTCTTGTATGTATTTTGTAGCTGTTAGTTGAGATATGATTAAACGTATATGTTGATTCAGAGTTCACAAACAGTAAGGACAAAGACCCCAAGAGAAGCACCAGTACCACACTACGAATTCGCCACCGTAGCCAAGTGAAGCAGGGGTGGGAGAAGTTGGCTACTTTAAAGAAGTAGAAAACACTTAGACAGGTGGCAAACCAAGTAGCTAGGTGATTGGACAGTATCCAAAAAATATTAACAACTTTTGTTAGTTTATCAATGGCATATAGGTGTGGCCATAGGACCAATAAAAATGAGTCACATAGTATTACCCAAAGTTGACTGATTCTGGAGATAGCCAGGCCTGTGAGGATGCAGTCAGCTGATGAGAGCTTTTGTCTCTTCACCAGGTCGATGCAGTTGACTACTATAATGAACCCATTCCCCAACATTCCAATCAGGAATCCTCCTATTGTTGCTACCAGAAAAGCATTTTCAATTCCAGATGGCATTTCTGTAGAAAGAATTCAGAAAGCTAATACTATTTTTCACTGATTTTTTCTAGATATTGTTGCTATCCAAGGGTTGTAGAATGATACCCAGTTTGATCCTTTTCAAAAATACTTAGTGAAACTCAGATACCATGTCACATATCTTCACAAAGACCTTTCTCTTTTATTCTAACCGTTGTTCTGAAATTTATGCAAGGAGATCCACTCCCATTACTCTCAATGGAAAATTTGAATATTGCTTCCATCGGCTACTGATTTCCAAATTAAGCAGTGAATGTTCACACTCATCATTGGAGCTGGCAGCAATTTTCCACTTGTGGAGACATCTGGAAAAGGAAAATCAGGTATGCAAACAGGCAAATGTAAGACAGATTTCTTTACACTCATTTGTACTTCTTTTCTCACCAGAAACCCAATGCCATTTGGATTCACGTTTCTCAATTTTAATAGTATTCTCAGAAAATAACCTCCAAAATAGAAGCATTTCTCATCGATTTCATTTAATAAAACCCATAACATTTCAAATACTGTTACAGATGAACGAAACATAATGAAGAGAAGCAGTATATACGATCTCACAGAGTCATGGAAGAAATAACTTTAAATAAACTATTACTGTTGTATATGACAAAAATTCGAGCAAAATGCAGTTGCAACACCAAGGATGGTGTTACAAAATCTATAGTCGATAGTTAATTCTCATTTCCTAAGGACAAAGACAACTGGCTTAGGGTTTGAAGATATAGATTAAAAGGGAAGTGATCTTCCAGATAATGTGCAAAGGTACCAAAATCATACCTCTATCTGAGCTCCTACTGTGAATTTTTGAACTTTGTTTCCAATGAGCTACTGCCTATTTGATAATGAATTAGCTATCATCAATTGAGAGGAAAAAATACTAAGAAAAAAGCCGAAGAAAAGCAGGTGATGGATGATTAGGAGATAAGTCCTCCTTTTCATTAATTATGCTTTTGATAAAATTCTTCATCTCTTAAAAAATTGATTTATAAGTTAAATGTATTTTCACTTCAACAGACAACTAACTCTAATGCAATGGTTTACAACCCTGACTGTAAACTGGAGCCTCCCACCCACCGCCCACCCCCATCTCATCCCTCTAGTTCATCACAGAACCCCGAGCCCATTGAGCCAACTGTGACTGTGGTTGACAAGCAACCTATTTCGTGTCCATCTCAGCCTCTCTGTATGATGCTAAGGCACTCACCTGGGCTGAAACTACCTGTGGAAGTCCTCACAGACATTTCCCCAGCAGCCAGTGTTGTATCTGAACTGGCTGTTTTGGTTATTATTATGACTGCAAGACCCACTTCAGTAGCAACCATCAGGAAAAAAGCAAAGTTTATTACTCACAGATCCAGAGGGTACATGATACACCCAGGGCCATATACTGAAGTCATGAGGAGAGACGGAGAAAGCACCTGGGACTCTGCCTTTTAAGGATTGAGGGTAGGGTGCCTAGGGTTTCATAAGTTCACTCTTTAATAGTGAAATTAAAATATGAGAGGGGGAATTAGGGCCCTTGAGGGGAGAAATGGAGTCACTTGAGTGAACAGTCAGTTATCTAGTTTACCTGGCATTTTCTAAAGGGGAAACTTCCTGGGTTGGGGGCAACCTGGCATCTCATCTAGGTGTTTGTTAGTAGCTGTAGACAGCTGGCAGTGTGTCCTGTCGAGATGGAGGCCTTTAGGAACTCCTTGTTGGTCCAACAGTTTCATTGCCGAGGGGGTGGTTTCAGTCCCTGGTTAGAGAACTAGGATCCCACAAACCACATAGCCCAGCCAATGAAAATAAAAGACAGAGGTCCTAGAGATGGATGCTTCAGCAACCAAAAGCTTATTGTCAGGCACTTATATTATATGACCTTAGCCACCTTGGCAGTCACCTACACTCCACGAGGAAAGGAAATATTTTCTGTCATCCACTGATCTCTTTCCAATTCCTAGAATAAGGCAATAGAAGGCCCTCAATAACTATTTGTCAAGTGAATGAGTGCTAACTCGGTTGGTAATCTATTGAGAACACAGAAAAAGAGAAAATGAGTTAAGACTTGATGGTGAAATTAGTATTAGAGCAAGAAAAGATGGAAACCCTTTAAAACTAGAGACAGTTTTATAACATATGAACTCATGAGAGATTTCTGTACTCACCTGAAATAACCAACACTGCTCTCTAGTCTTCTGGTTCAAATCAGAAGTCATACCAAATCATCAAGATCATTGTACACATCTGACAACCAAGATGTGAGAATCTTTGAAAGAGAACTACTTTAAGCCCAGGGAGTTGAAAATGGGTAGAAAACTCTAGATTTTGTGTCAGGGGAGCAGGAAAGCCTAGAGATCACTGATGTTTTCAGAAATGCTCTGACCTGGTATAGAAGGCTACCTGAGAAGTAGACTTCACTGATAGGTGTGGCTTAGCAGTGACAAAAAACAGCAAATCAGCCAATAGATGCTCAGTCATTAAAAAACACTTGAGTTCATAGTTACACACTTTACACTAAAGGAGAAACTCAGTCTAAAGGATATAATAACAAATTTAAAATCACAAGTGCCATACACTATAAGTTAAATTCAAAGTCCAAGTTAACAATCACAGTTTAAAAAAGTCTACATAACTGCAGAACTATCTCAGTTCCTGGGGAACTGTCTTTATATCCTTTATTCTTACAATGATTGATTTATACATGCAAAAAAAAGTGCTATTGTATGTTTAAATGAAAAGCATATCATTGCAAAAATTTTAGGTAGATAATGATTCATTAAATTTATGTATATGCTATAATAACAATCCAAACAAATCAGTCTAAACTTAGCATAATGACTATAATTGAAGTCAGAAAATTTGTGAACATTGATTTTATAATTGTCAGTAGGAAGAATTACATTTCCTCCAAGAAACAGTGAGAAAACACATTGAGAGAAGTTCACTTTGGCCTAATTCAAACAAAATCCTGAATCCGGAGTGATACTGAATAATACTAATACAGTAACAAGCTACTGCTTATGTGAATGTAAATAAAGGTGACTCAACTGAAGATCTTATTAAACTTTAAACCTTCTATCATTAATATTATCTTTCTTTTGACTTGAATTCTTCCTGTCTCCTCCTTGTGTCTGTTACATCAGAGACCTTTCTATTTGCCTCTTTCTGTTACCTTTCTGTTAATGCAAGTTCCGGTGCCCTAGGCCACACAAACTGGAACAATGGAGTTTAAGGCAAAGAAAGGCTTACTGCAGGGAGACAGTGGCTCCTACCCTAAGAGGTTCTGAATTCCCAGGGTTGCAGCAGAGCATTTTCAAAACCAAGGTGAGGGGAGTGTCCCAGCTTGTGCACAGTTCTCTGATTAGCCAATGGTGAGGTAGCCAGGTGATGTCACAGGGGTTAACATTATTAGTCCTCAGCTCTAGGAGGCCTGGGGCTATGTGCTCACCAATCATCAAGTAGATACCACCTTCCATTTGATGGGGGTTTTCACATCAGCAAAACAACTCAGAAAATGTGCATCAAGTACTATTATCTTGGTACTTCATAAAGGATCTAAAGCAGAGGATACAAGGGAAGGCCTGTAGGGAAGGTCCCGTGGGGGTCTGCTCAGTTAAATTTCCCTTCCCTGAGCCCACATTTTGAGATTTCCCAATAGTCTCAGACATGAGGCAGAATTAGAGGAGAATACAGTTTATTAGAGTGGGAGACGCTGTTAGAACAGTGGGCGAGCTCAAGGGAGAACTAACAGAGTTGGACAGAGTCACAAAGAGGTAGACACACCTGAGCGACTGAACCGAATAGTCTCAGAGAAGCCAGCAACAAATGCTCCCCTAATTGTGATGCTCTCTGATCCTGTTAATAGAAAGATGTCCCATTTATTTGCGAGCAAAGATATAACCTCCTAATTCTTTTTGAATCACAACTTAGAGCTTCCACATATTGACCTTAACAACTTCTTTTCTAGTTGCTAAATGAAAGCTCTAGCCTTTGTGTTTTTCAGGTAAAAGGGATCTTCAATGTTTCATTGGCTTCAGTGTTTCTAGGCCAAGAAGCAGTCAACTGGGACCAGGGCCACAGCATGAAGGGACAAGGATTTAATCATTCATACCTGAAGGATATTTGCTCATCTTAATCACTGCTAGGGGGCTTCCGAGGTGGCACAGTGGTAAAGACTCCACCTGCCAGTGCAGAAGAATCAGGAGATGCATGTTCAATCCCTGAGTTGGGAAGATCCCCTAGAGAAGGAAATGGCAACTCACTCCAGTATTCTTGTCTGAGAAATTCCATGAACAGAAGAACCTGGAGGGCTGCAGCCCATAGGGTTGCAAAGAGTCAGACATAACTGAGCACACGGCACAAGCACACACTCCCTGCTGTCTGCAAACACTTCTGTTTCATGGTACATTTTTGTTTCACTTAGAATTCTTTTCATTTTTGTAACTGAGGGCTATTAGTTTTCTGTTCTCCCCAAAATCCTTAAAGGGCAGATATATCCCCTGGTTCCTCCTCATGACAAAACTAAGACAATCTAACTTACCAACATAAATTTTCCCGCACTGGTAAGCGTTTAGTGTCTCAAACTCAAAGTAAGAATAGTTGTGCTTTTTTTCTTTTTAGTTTTCTGAACTTGCATTTATATTGGTGTTCAAGGAGATTAAAAAAGGCTCCCCTACATATGTTCCTCAAATAAATCAAAAAAATCTTTCAAATCAATTTGTTTTTGTAGTGATTGGTCTTAAGGTTCTTAATAGAACATAGAATACTCTAGACAACATATCCAGTGTCTTATATGACAGAACTGAGAATGACTGTGTGAGAAGCAAGCACCCCTTCAAAGGATATCCCTGGCTCAGAGGACATGGGGTCTAATCAGGATCTTGCTAGGAGAAGCCACCTATTGAGGAGAATAGATAAATGACATGAGACATTAGGAAATCTGCACACCTCTTTCTCAGACATCAGTGAAGTTATGTGTTTCCATCTGATCTGCACATTCAGCGGGGTTCGA